AACCCCCTCAGATCCTCTGCAAATCCCCCTCAAACCCTCCCAGATTCCCCCCAAGCCCTCCCAAATCTCTCTCAAATGCCCGCCCCCACCCAGGACATGGAGCCCCTTTGTGCCACCATCCTGGCCACCTTCAACTCCCTATACCCCACTGCCTTCTACCCCCTTCCATGCCTCCTGCACCCTCCAACACCACCAGACCCCTCCCTAATGCTCCCCAGGGGTCAGAGCCCCTCTTCGTGTGTGCCACAAGTGGCACCACTGTCCTGGGTACCTTCGATCCGCTGGACGCCATCGCTGACATCTGTGCCCGCCACGGGCTGTGGCTGCATGTGGATGTGAGTTCGGTGGGGGTCTCTGGTTGTGGGGTGCCTGAGGATCCCCTTATGGGTACTGATCCCGCTTTCCCTGCAGGCAGCATGGGGGGGCAGTGCCCTCCTCTCCCCCCAACTCCGTCACCTTCTTGCTGGCATCCACAGGTGTGTCCCTCCCCCTGCCCCCAAAAAAGGCTCCCATGCTTCCCCCTCTGAGTTTTTGGGGATGCCCTTTTCCCCACAGGGCCTCCCCAAACTCTGCTGTTTTCCCCCCACCAGAGCCGACTCAGTGACCTGGAACCCCCACAAGCTGTTGATGGTGGGATTGCAGTGCTCAGCATTCCTGCTCCGTGACAGCTCTGTAGGTGCCCCCCATCTTGAATTCCTGCCTCTGGGATGCCTCCCTGGGCCCCCTCATTAATTTTGGTGCCCCCTGCCCCTCTCAGGGGCTCCTGCAGCGCTGCCACGGTGTGGGGGCCTCGTACCTGTTCCAGCGGGACAAGTTCTATGACGTGTCCCTGGATACAGGGGACAAGAGCCCCCAGTGTGGCCGCCGCGCCGACGGCCTCAAGCTCTGGATCCTCTGGAAAGCCGTGGGAACCCGGGGACTGGGACAGCGTGTGGAGCGGGCATTTGCTGCTACTCGGTGAGCCCTGGGATTGGGGGGACCCTTCACCTCTCAAACTGGGCTTCACCCCTTTTTTCCCTCCAGGTATCTGTTGGAGCAGGTGAAGAGGAGGGAGGGATTCCAGCTGGTGACAGAGGTAGGGATGATGCTAGAATATGGGATGTGGACACCCAAGAGTCCTGGAGGCTGGAATGCCACAGGTCTGAATCGTCCTGGAGGTTTAACTCCCAGGGGATTAATCCCAAAGATTTGAATCCACAAGGTTTAAATTCTAGAGTTTTCAATCCCAGAGGCTGAAATCTCAGATATTTGAATTGTCCCAGAAGTTAAAATCTTGGAGGTTTAAATCCCTGAGGACAAATCCCAGAAGTTTAAATCCTAGAGTCTGAAATCCTGCAGATTGGTATTCCAGAGGTTTAAATTCTGGGGGTTTTAAATCATTCTTCAGAAGTTTGAATCTCTGAGGATTAACCCCAGAGGCTGAAACCTTGGATATTTAAATCCTCAAATTTAAATCCCAGAGATTTAAATAATCCTGGAGTTTTAAATCATCCTGGAAGATTCCCTTTTGAAGTTTTAAATCCTGGAGGATTAAATCCTGCAGGTTCCAGTCCCAGACAATTACATACACATGGCTGAATTCCTGGAGTTCTGATTCCCCATCAAATTCTGGGAATTGGGTGATTGGCCATTATCTCCTTCCTCTTCCTTTCCCCGCAGCCGGAATTCATCAACCTCTGCTTCTGGTTCATCCCACCCAGCCTGCGGGGCCAGGAAAGCTCTCCGGAATTCTGGGACAAACTGGGAAAGGTGAGCTCAGAATTCCAAATTCCCCCCCACAACAGCCCTCCAAATCCCCCCAAAAAAACCCCAGAATCCTCCTGAAATGGTGCTTCCCCCTAGGTGGCCCCAGCCATCAAGGAAAAGATGATCCGGAGGGGCTCCATGATGGTGGGATACCAACCTCATGGATCCCGGGTCAACTTTTTCCGACAAATTATCACCAATCCTGCTGTCACCCGCCAGGACCTGGACTTCTTCCTGGATGAGATCCAGGAATTGGGATGGGATCTGTGAGCACTCCCAAAACCCCCTATGAAAGACCCCCAAACCTGCCCACCATCCCTGAGGAAGAGGGGAGCAGAGTCTTGATTACCTCCCCATATCCCAAAATGGAAATGTCCCCAAAATTCCACACTTATGGAATAAAACAGCATTTTATAGTCCTGATCTGATAATAATTTAACTCCCTGACCCAAAATGGGGTTTGGGGTGTGGGGGGGGTCCCTCAATTCCCCTGGAAGCTCCGGAGGAGGTTGTGGATTCTGGAATCAGGATATTGTGGCCTTGTGACTCTCTTAAAATTCCCGTGACTTCTTGAAGCTGCAGAGGTTGGAATTTGTATGGAAGGGGATCTGTCAGCACCTGGAAAACTCTTGGGAAAGTACTGCAAAACTTGCTGCCTCCATCCCTGAGGAAGTGGAGCACAGCCTAGACTTCCTTCTGGAATTTTTAAATCAGGAATAAATCAGCACTTGATCCCAAACTTCCACATTCATGGAATAAAACAGCATTTAATGGTCCCAATTTTACATTCATTTAATATCACACCACTCTCCCCACAAAATGGGGTTTGAAGGTCTCTCAATCCCCCTGGAGGCTCTGGAGGAACTCGAGAATTCCAGGATTAAGCCGGGCATGCTCAAGGCAGGATAGGAGCCGGGACACCGTGGCCTCCTGTCGCTCCCGCCGCCACCACTCCCGCAGCATCTCGAAATTCCAGAGGATGGGATTGCCGGGATTTTCCTCCTGGATCTGCTCCAGCCGGCTCTGCTCCAGCCCTAGATGCAGAATTCCTACTTCCTGCCACTCTTTTCCCAGTCTTTTGGCGACTAGCATCAATTCCTTCTCCGTCAAGCGCCGGGGATTCATAGGTGGAGCTGGGATCCCACCAGGAAGACGTCCTGAATTGGGGTCCCCCCTCACCTTGGGAGTGTCCCCGTTAGGCTCACAGGGAGTTTCCTCCGAGATTTTCTCTTCCAGGGGCAGCTGGAAGCGCTGGATGAGGTCGAGGCGGCCGAGCTGCCGCAGGAACCCAGCGGTCACACGCAGGGAATTCCCCGGGAAACGCTGGAGGAGGATGCGGCACAACTCGGGGCGCGATGCTGAGCGCAAAAGCCCGGCAGGAACCTGCCCTTCCAGCAGGAACTTGAGGCTCTCAAATTGCTCCTCCGGCAGAGCTTGGTGCACCTCCAGCAGCGTCCCCCGCTCGTCCTTTGCCATCAGGGCAAAAAATCTCGCAGGGAAGTAGGGCCACTCCTGGGACACAACGGCTGTGAGAGAGGGGTCACCACGCAGCCCAAAAAGCGGAGAAAATAGAGGGCCACCCCTGGGCCCCAAAAATTCGGGGTAGGGGTGGAAAGGGGTCACTCTGTGCTCCACAAGCTGGAGGTAGATGGGTCACCGAGGTGCCTCCCGTGCCCCCACCCTGCCTCGGGCCTGAGCCCTCCCAATGTCCCCCTAGAGCACCCCACCCCGCCCTGGGCCTTAGACTCCCAAATGTCACCCCAGTGGCCCCACTCTGTCCTGGCTCCCCACGATGTCTCTGCCGTGTGACTACTGCCCTTTGTTCCGGGTCCCCAAGATCTCGCGGTGCCCTCGGTGCCCCCCTAGCCCGGATCCCCACCGTTCTCCCCG